GACAAGAATTTAATTAATATAAAATACAAATAATCAACAATGTTAGAAACAACAGCACGTAGTTCAATTTAAAGTGCCTGCTTAGTTTCATGATTTTCTTGTGTGATTGATTTCAAAGAGAGATTATTCAGGAAACACTTTAGTGCATACAGTAAAAAAAGTTGAAGATTGGCCTATTTTTGTTGTGAGTTGCTATGTGATATGGCAAATAAAATTGTATTCGGAAACTTTTCTTGCATATCGGACAACTGTACGGCTTCTCACCGATATGAATTCTCATGTAATCTTTCTTATGGTGTAATCGAGAGAAAATTTTCTTTTATACCTGGGTCAACTGTAAGGCTTCTCATCGATGAGTTCTTATACGAACTGATATTTGTTACTTTCTTTTGACATACATTAAACTGTGATTTCTTCTTTTTGCCCATATTTTTTCGTCCAACGCTCTCTTCTTTGACTGTAATATTCATTAACTCTATTCATCTTTTAGTTGCTTCTTCAGCTAATAACCCCTGTTGTTCCACTTGTCTTCCTCTCACTCCTTGCATTTGGTAAATCCAACAGCTTTGTTTTTTCTGTTTACACCTCCCCATATTATATGAAATTGTCAATCTTACACTGTATTAAAAATTTTTTAGAATCTAAAAAGAAATTATTGTCGTGCTTCATCCTGCTTTTAACAGCACTAAAACGCTCCAAAGTATGCAAAGATAAGCAGTAATATGACAATGATACTTATTTGCATATAGCATGCCAATCGCTTGCTGCGCGTATAGCATGCCAGTTACTTGTTTGTTATGTATGCGCGAATAATGAAAAAGTAATTTAGTATGTCTGTAGGTAAAAACAAAACCGATATTTTATTCGCTAAAATGAAAAAAACAGCAAAGGGATGGAAAAAGAACGATACTATTATGCATATAAGTAAGCGATAAATAATGACAGCAATAGAATTTTATTAATAAAATAAGAACTAAGTACAGAAATATAATTTATAATCAACGAAACAACGCGAATTTCAGTTTAAAATGTGCCCTTCAGCTTCTTTCATGATTCTTCTCGTGTATTTTCAAATACCATTTAGTTAGGAAATCTTTACCGCAAAAAGTACAGTTGTAGAGAGGCCTATTTTTGTTATGAGTAGCCATATGCTTTTTCAAATGTTGTTTTAGTCTGAAACTTTCCTTGCATTCCCGACAACTGTGCGGCTTCTCATTGGTATGAGTTTTCATATGATTTTTCATAGCTGATAAATGAGAAAAGCTTTTGGTGCATCTGAGACAACCGTACGGCTTCTTACCGTCATGAGTTCTCATATGGACCTTCATATTGGATGATTGAGAGAAACTTTTATCGCATGTCGGACAACTGTACGGCTTCTTACGAGTATGAGTTTTCATATGTTCTTCCACATGGTGTAGTCGAGAGAAACTTCTCTTGCATATTGAACAACTGTAAGGCTTCTCACCAGTATGAGTTCTCATATGCCTTCGCATATTTGTTGCCTTCTTTTGGCACACAGTGCACTGCGATTTCTTCCTTTTGGTTTCTTTCCTATGGGTTCACCCGTAATTTTTCGTTTAACGCTCTCTTTTTCACTGTTAATTTCATCTTGATTG